AGCCTTTGTTCTCAGAAAAGTGTGGCGCTTATATTCTACATAATTAATTTGGCATTTTAGTTAACAGGGGAAAGGATGGTGTTGGGCAAAACAGTAGATTCTAAACAGATCCCATAGATGAAAAGAGATTCCTAAGTGATTAAAAAATCTAAACATGAGAAGAACTGTGACAATAAAACTATAAAAAATTATTTAAAAAAAACCTAGAGAAATATATCTTTCTAGTCTTCGGATAAAGAAGATGCTGAAGCGAGCAGACACCATAGAAGAAAAACGCGATACATTTGACAGCATGAAGAGGAAAACCACAACGTTTGCATCGCAGTAAAAGCACTATAAATTAAGTTAAAAATAAGTGACAGTGTGGAGGAAAGCATATGCAACATGTAGAGCAAATGAAGGATTCAGGTCATGCATATAAAAATCCCTACAAGTCAATATGAAAAATGACAAAGAATAAGAACAGTTTGCGGAAGTGTATGAATGAACGATAAATATTTGAAAAGATGGCCACCCCGACTACACTAGTAATCATGAAAAATGCCAATGATGACAAGGAGATATAATTTCTGGCAATCAGTATTGGCTACTGTGTGTGTGGGGGGGGGATGGGAACTCTTGTACATGCTTGGTACACACCCTTTTGGAGAGAAGTTTGACAGTATGTATTTTTCAAATGCCTCTACCATTTGAACCCACTTCTGGGTATCTATGGGGGAGACTGTTCATTGTCTCTGTGCAAGGCTGTTCTTCCCGGGTGCTGGGTGGCTCAGCTAGACTGTTTCCCAGGCTCCCTTGGGGGCAGGTATGGTGGCCATGGGAGTAAGAATTCACCAACGGAATGCAAGAGTGAGGGGCGATGTGTCCAACTTCTCCCTCACCTGCTCAGGGGACAAGTGCTCACCCTGGATGTGCACCGTTTTCCCCTCTGCACTTCACAGGATCCAGAGCACAGATACACCTGTGCAGGAGCTGACCCAGCAGTCAAGGCAATGTCCTCGAGCTGAGCTCCTGGGCGTGGTTCCTGGACCACTGCTCAGCCACAAGGTGCCCTTAGGGTCCGGGATGAGGCGAGTCCATCAGGAGGAAGTGTTGTGAAGCTTTTATAGCAACTCAACATCACCATGATATCTTTATTGCATTTTACAAAAGCCTTGGGCAAAATGGATTGGGGGTGGGTGGGTGGACATAAACTGGTCTTTCACCACAAATGGTTTGAGAAGCACTGGGCTTCCTGAGTGACGGCGTGGAACAGAGATGTCCCTTCAACCTGGAGTGCTCGGCTGACCCTTATGAGAGCGAGTAACAATGTTCAGTCTTCTCTAAGCCACTAGCTGCATCATTGGTGGTCTCTTGGTTGGAGCCATCTAGCGCTGCCCTCCCTGACTCAATCTTACAGCAGTGTTCGTGTGTGTGTGTGTGTGTGTGTGTGCGATGGGGCAAGAGTGTCCATGCGGCATTGTGCCCATCAGCGAAACCCCACAGGACCCCTAAATGTGCACCGAGGAGGGGAAGCTGGGAACAAAGTCTGCTATATCCATGCTGTGGAGTACAGAGCTATAATTAAAAACTCTCTCCCAGGCACGCTTCCTTATGGATCTTCTGGGAAAGGGGGAATTGGGAGGGGCCTAGAGAATGGCTAAAAGGAGCTTTTATTTTATTCCTATTTGTTTAATATTTTAAAATGAGAATTATATTCATGTCTTGCTTGTGTATTTAACAATAAATTTAAAAGCATATAAAATAGAGAGTGTTTATGTGTTGTTAATAATAATATGACACAGAATAATTTCCTCACTCGCTGGTTTGGGAGACTCGCATAGTGGTTTGGGTTTCCTGCTTTTTAACGTGCCCTCGGTTTCTGGCCCCCTCGCTCCTGCCCTCAGTTTCACTCAGCTGCTCCGGGACCCTCCACTTCCCTGAGGGCCCCATCGTAGCACTGAGTAGAACGACTTTCAGAATGGGATGCATCATTCAGTTGTTTGATTCCACGTAGGCCGTGAGTGTTTTCGGAAAAAGTCCTATGGAGAATTCTCATTTTTGCCAGGATGAAATAAAGCAGAACTTCCAGGAGGCACTATCTCCCAACTTGTATACAACTGTTTCTTCGATAAATCATCTCTGATCTTGAAATAATAAAGAATGTAACACATGAAGAAAGGAACCAAGTTTCAGGGAAAAACAAGGCTCTTAAAACACATTTGATCTCGACTAAACACACTTCACACCAGACTTCATAACGTGCTTTAGGGAAATAGTGGCTGTCACAAGGACTGCTATAGTAACTAAACACAAAGATTTTCTGAGATTTGACCAAACTGTTTATCCTAGGTACAAAGTTCCTTCTGGAAAACATGCTACTGAAACTTTTCTTCCGAAGTCCAGTGGGCTGCTTGAAAAGCGTTAGGCATCATGCAGCTGCCGGCGTAAAGCCTGAGAGCACATGGCGCGGGAACCCGAGAAACAGGTGCCGGCAGCTGAGACCATGGCCCCTGTCGCGGAAGGCCGACCCTGACAGTCGGAGGGTGAAAGTGGACGACAAAATTATAATAACAGTAGCATTCGGAGACAGAGTTCCAAATTCTTCTTGAATTTTAGAAGTTCACTCCCTGATAGTGACAGTTGGCCAAATGCATCTCCCACACCTTCCTGAAGTTCATCCTCCAGGCACCTGCCAAGTCCGACCATCTCCAAGCAGGATATCCTGCTACCACCACCAAAGTGGCTGTCCTGGAACACACAGAGGCCTGGAAAGACTTGGATCTGGCCGGGTCTCCTGCTCCCTCTAACACACCAGGGGCTCGGGCACCCTCCCTCCTGCCCTTGGCGCCTCCCCACCCCCCCCCCCCCCCCCCCCCAGCTCCCCTGGGCCCTCCTCCTTCCCCAGGGTGTAGGGTCCTGTGCTTCCCCGGCCTCCGTGTCTCCCCATCCGTAAAGGGGACCATCGGCGCCCAGCTGGGGTGGCGGTGGTGGGGCGTGAGCCAAGGAGGTGCTGCAGGGGGTGGGGAGCGGGGGTCCCCCGCTCCCCAGCCCCCCGAGACCTGTCCTGGCGGCCAGCGTCAGCCTCCTGGCCCCCCGGACGCGTCCCCAACCTGGACATGCTGCAGGATCCTCTGGGCGCACCAGTCCCCCAGCTCCGCGTAGTTGCCCGCCAGCTCCTCGTCCGCCTCCCCCAGCTGGTCCACGAGGTTGAGCAGCATCATGGGCACAGCCATGGACTGGGAGGCCGGGGCCCCAGGGAGCCGGGGCCGGCCCAGCCCCGATGGGTCCTTTTTATTATATATTTTAAAATATATGAGCAATATTTAAAATATGTGAGCAATATTATGGGCTCAGTGGGAAGTAATTGAAACAGCTCACCAATGTATTAATCAAACTAATAAGTGCATGAAACCATGAGAAGCCCAAGTACCCTCTCCTCTGAATGTCTGTGTCCCCCAAAATTCATACATTAAGATCCTATCCCCCAATGTCACCCCATCAGTTGGTGGGGCCTCTAGGAGGTGATTGGGTCATGAGGGCAGAGTCCCCATGAATGGGTTTAGCACTCTTATAAAAGAGGCCTTAGGCACCTTGCTCACCCTTCCGCCATGTGAAGACACAGCCAGATGACAGCCATCTATGAAGCAGGAAGCAGGTCTTCGCCTGATGCTGGCTCTGCCAGCATCTTGGTCTTGGATTTCCCAGCATCCAGAACTGTGAGCAATAAATGAGTGTTGTTTTATAAGCCACCTTGATGGCATTTTGGTGATAGCAGCCTAAACAGACTACAACAAGGCTAGCGGCCCCTCCCAGGTGGGATGTGAGCAGGATAGAAGTGGGTTGGGGCAGATGGTTGTGGGCAGGAGCCTGGCCCAGGAGGTGGGCGTCTGGGGACTGTCAACTCTCAGGTAAGCAAAAGAGTTATTGGGGGTCTCAGAGGAGGGTGTTGTTGGAGAGGCTACAGGGCTCCAGAAGTCAGGGGGCCCTAGGAGAGGGTCAGAAAGGAAGATTCTCAACCCCCTACAAGAAGCCCCAGGATATCCCCTACCCTCTGGGCCCAGTGTTAGTTGTTCAAAGAGATCTGTGGCCTTGGCTTTTGCATAACTGAAGTTTGCCTGAACAGAGCTTGCACATGTTTGAGGGAAACATAGGTGGACTTCTCAGTGGCAAGTACATCATGAAACCAGCAAAGCAGATGAATGGTTCTCTGCAAACAACTGGCTTGTGAGCAGAGATGGCTGGGATGGCAGTGGGGTGTGGTCGTATCACCACCACCTGCCAAGAAGCTGCATTTGGGGTGGAAAATTAATTGATAGAGTGATGAGGATGGGACCCTGGGGGAAAGATGACATGGGTCTTGCCTGGGCACCTCCAGGGAGATTGGGATGGTGGGGGAAGGCGTGTTCCTTTCCAACAGTTTCTCCTTGCTGTTACAGCACACCATGGCCCTTGAGATCCCAACCCAAGTGCTCGTGGGGCTCCTGGGTGCTTGCCCTTCTGGGACTGGGCAGGTGAGCCTTGTTTGTATTTGGCAGGTGAGGGGGGTCAGGAAGCCAGGGGCCTGTCCTCGCTACCTGCCTTTCTGGAGGCAATGATCATTGGAGAGAGGGCCAGCCACTGGTCAAGAGGACTGACCTCCTCACTCCCACCCTCACCTAGACCAGAGAGGCTGGCCGATCCTCAAGTCCTAGTAGCCACTTCCGTCACTCTATTTCTGGTCCCTAAGGGAGGAGCTCAGGGTCCAGCCTGGTGTTCTGCTCCCGCCCGGAATTCAGACTCTGAGGAGAGCCCGAGCCAGGGTGGGAGAAGGGACCTGGCTGAATGACAGACCTCTTCTGCCAAGGGACAGCTCACATGTCCAGGGAAACCAGCCCTGCCTCATCGGGGCACCTCCTGTCCCCTCCAGGCATCCAGTAAGTGGGGGGTGGGGGGTGGGGCAAGAACTTTAGAGGGCAGAGAAAGGAGCAAGGGAAGAGCTGTTAACCGGAACTCTGACAAAATAAGTCAAGGAAGACCAATGCCATTTAACATATATTTATTGAAATCTACTTGATGCAAGGCACTGTGCTAGATCTGGTAGGGGAATCAGACATGAAGGGTCACCCCTGTCTTATAAGAGCTCACAATCTAACAGGTGGGAGAGGGTGGGGAGGGCGAAGCTCTAGTGCAAGGCTGATTATAGTAAGTGCCATAAAACAGACAAGTTAAGGAGATCAGGGAGGGATGAGAAAAAAGCGCCAACAAATGAACCGTGGACTGGGGCGGACACAGCTACTCTTCTTAGATATGCAAATAACATTAAAGGCCAAGTTAAAAGAGACCATTTCTAGTTTCCAAAGTAAACAGCTAAACTGATACCATGAGGAGAAGTACAGAATGTAAGTATACTAGTAATAGAGAGATTCTCAATTCCCCAATCTCACAGATTTTCTGGAAGTAGCGAGACACTTCCAAAATAAAGAACAGGGTGGGTGTTGACTTAACTCATTTCATGGGGCACACATGGGATCCGTACAGGAACACTCGGACAGAGGCATTGGTCGAACTCATTGAGACTAAAAGGCATAGGTTTTCCCCATCTGAGTGAACAGAGTACCACATTTAAACAGGTGTCTACAACAGTCAGGTGGGACTCGGGCCACGAACTCGAGTCGGGTAGAACATGAGGGAAACCAGCCATGTGATTGATTCTTCTCAGGAAGCAGCCAACTGGTAAAAGGCAATTGACTCTTGACAGATTGCAAAAAGCAGAGACCCGATCAGGCTGGCTCAGGTCAAGGGAGTCTCTGGTGGGGACACAAATGAACTGGTGAGGGCAGTTGCCAGAAATCCAAGAACATGATGGGGCGTGGACTGCCTCAGGGAGATAGCTCTGGAGTGCTCAGCAGGATCTTCAAGCTGGTGCCACCTATCGGGTCAACTCCCCTAAATGCTGTGTGGCTCCCTCTTCTTTCCAATACCAACGAGAAGATTCTCTCTCGTTTTTCTTGTTTGCACTTCACAGAGAACCCGAAAGGCCCAGCCTGTCGTTGCCAGCCAGCTCTGATGACCAGGTGCTGCCCTTGAGTCAAGTGTTCAGTTCTGGTTTGATTAGTGTGGCCGGGAAGGGGAGTGAGGGTCACAGGGCACACAACAGGGCTGAAGCCCAGAGCACGTGGAATGCCAACACTGTGAGACAAAGGTACCCTCTGTGATTGGGTGGGGCTCATTCCGGAAATGCAGAAGTGGGTAAGACACAACTAATCAACACAGTTAATCTTAATAAGCAGCAAAAATGGTAAACAGGAACTTTCATTTAAAAATTTCAGCAAGTATTCAAAACTTTAATAAAAGCAATGGAAGGTTTCTTTCAGAATATAAGAAAAGGATATATTTCTAATGCGAGTCGGCATTCTATGTAACCCAACTGCTCTTCATTTCCCTTGCAAAAGAAATACGGGTGATTAGAAAGAAAAAATGAAATGAGGTAGATACACAAATGCATAGACGAGCCCACACAATAGGAAGCTTGATCACATTTTGCATCTGATGTAGCAGTATACCTACAGAAGCCAAGGAAATCCACCCCCAAGTTACCAGAGGCAAAAACTGAACTTGGCACAACTACAGGACACACGTTAAAGCCACACACTGCTTGCGCCGGAGAGAGCACAGACTTCACCCGCAAACACAGTGACAGAGAAGATGCGGTCTTTAGTGTTAACTCTAGAAGAGGGTTTGGGAGAAAATTATAGAACGGGGAATGGAAAAAAGTCAAGGAGGGCAGGACAGGCGGCCAGGATGCCAAGATGCCGTGTCCTGGCTTGGGAGAGAGGGAGCAGTGACAACAACGCTAGGTTCTGAGTTAATACTGTATCTGGATCCTTCATAAAACCTGACATATGGCTAGCGAACAAGCAAGAAATGGCAGAGCGCTCCCAGTGAAAGCTGCCAGACTTGCCCCCCGTGAATGTCAAATTCTTTCCCGAATGACAGTGGTGTCAAACACGTCCTGACAGCTCGAAAAGAGAAAACTGATGCCGAAGGAAGCGGTGATGGCAGACACAGTTTCACAACTACTGCGAGAACTGAAGCCCACAGAGCAAAAGGAGTTGCTATGTAACAGGTGCTGTTGGCTTCTCTCCAGCCTGAGGGTCAGGCTGGGGACGTCACAGAGAGCCACCGTTGTGGCCCAGGGGGCCATTCCAGAGGACCTTCTGGCTAAGGTCACAGGGGTCGCCATGGGACCCTGCTTCCCAGGATGGGGGCCTGAGGAGCTCTTCCAGATGTGCCTGCCAGGAAGCTCGGCCTCAGCCTTGGCGGGCCCCTCAGAAGCGTATGCTTCCTCTGTGGGCCCTCGAGAGGCCCCCCCAAGCGCGGCTGCTGGGAAGTCACACCCCAGCCCCAGCATGGCTGGCTTCTACCTGCGGGTTCTGCAGGCCACCGGGGGCCAGGTTTCTGGCCAGCCCTTGCTGCTGTTCCCCCTGGGGGAGACTGTCGAAGTCACAGCCTGGCCCCGGGACGACCAGCTTCTATTTCTATGCCACACAGGCCGTCAGAAGGGCATCGGTGCCCTCCAAACCCTTCTTTTGTCACCCCTCCCAGGCATGGCTGCTGCAAGTCACAGCCCAGGCCTGTGGTGGCCAGCTTCTATCACCAGGCCACACCGGGCATCGGAGGGGCGCCATTCCTCTCCGAGCCTTTGCTCTGCTGCTCCTTGGGTGTGGCTGCGGGAGGTAACATCAGAACACGTGGGTGAATTTCCCCCTAGTTGCCCAAAGCAAAAGCCACCAAACTGACCTCTTTCTAGTTCCAGAGTCACTCGCTAGGAGGAGGATGCAATCCACATGACAGCATCGGTCAAGTGAGTCTTCTTGTGTTCGAGGAGATGTGTCTCTGGTGGGTCTGCTGCTCAGGCACTGAATCCGTGCTGGGCATGGCCAAAGCTCCCAGGAGCTTGGAGGACAGCCAGCTGTGGCCAAGACCACGTTTGGACTGCCCCATTGATCTAGTTGAGGCCCAGCCCTGCTGCTGCCAGGTAGGGCTATACTGAGGAACAGTCAGAATGTTCTGGCCATCCGAGATGGAAGTTTCTCTCGCGTGTCTGAGTGGCCAGGTTGGATAGTCAAGTACTGCCCACAGACATGCAGAGTCCGCATCGTGGATGAGGAGAGAGCCTGCTTCTAGGGCCCGTTCCCATCCAGCCTGCCCACCTGGTGCATCCACCTTCTGGTGGGGCAGGGCTTTCAACTTTTCACTTGTAATTAAAATTCTAGAAAAAAACATCATCATATCTAACTACTGAAGCAATGAAAGTTACGGCTTCATGGACAACAGTGAATGCCCAGGTATGTAAAAATTAAGAGCTCGCACAACAAAAATGTAATAAAACTGCTCCAAAGAGCAAAGCAATAAAACTGGAAAAGAGACCATCACAATCGATGTAGAAAGGACTGCTGTATAAAGTCATTATGTCCAAAGGTAACTTGATAACTGGTCAAAGGAGATGAACGTACGGTTTGCATGCAAGGAAACAGGAACAGTATTTAAGTCATTGCACGAGAGAAAGAAGATGAGACTAGGAGTCAGGAGGCCTGGGTCCATCCCCAGTTCTGGTACTAATGAGTCACAGGATGACGGCAATAATTATGGTGATGACAGGAGATGACCTTCACTGAGTGTGTGCCTTCGGGCCAGGCGTGGCATCACAGTTCCCATGATAACCTTAGGGGTAGTCCTGGGATCGCCCCTGTTTTACAGAGCTCGAAACAGAGGGCTGGCTCTGTATGAGAGGCTACCATTCCCGAACAAGAGGCATCACCTTATACTTGAGTCCTGGAGACGTCCCTGTTACGGGGGTGCCCTCAGCTATTTAATTCTGAAGAAAACAGTGCTGCTTGAGGACAAGACCTATTAGCCTGGAACAGACCCCAACCGATGCTAGTTTTGGACACACGTGGAAGTCACTGGAATGAACTGGTTCAAGAAAAATGGATGCAAAAGAAACGTAACCCAGATTCAGTACTTATTCCTAAGAGTATGACCTCACAATGACAAGTTATAGATGCTTCAAAAAAGTCTTTTAAAGGTCATTTGAAAAGGCAAACACATCAAGTGGTTATGTTGTAGGGCTACAGGACAAATTGAAGAAACCAACAATCGTCCTAATGTTATGTGACCAGGTACTTAATGGCTTGGGAGGAAACTTCTAGCGAGAGCTTTGTGCAGGGATTGTCACAGTGCTACATGGCACACAGCTTGGATGCGTTGAAGCCATTGGATGTGCTTTGAAACTGTTGGATGACTCAAGAGGGGGCTGCGAGGTTGGGGAAGATGGTGAGGTCAGAGTTGCGTGTGAGGCTTTAGGATAAAATGATCTTGTGGAACGGAGTGAGGGAAAACAGGCGGCTTTTCTAAATTAATATATTATTCTATGTAGTATGTGATTTACAATATGCATGTATAACTGAATTAATAAATTAAATATTATAAGACATTTGAGTATTCTATTTACATCCCTAAAAATTTATAAATTCAAGTAGGCCAAACGACTCTGGGGCTTTGTTCTCTCCAGGAGAGCTGGGGTCCCGTCACACGGAGGCCGTCATTGAGTCGCTCCTGAGGGAGCGGCCTGGAGAAGAGGTCCTGCGAGCCCCTTCACCCCCGCAGGCAGGTGTCTCTTCTCTCCTTCTCCTGCTTCAAGGCCGGTGGATGTCAAATACCTTGAGGGTACTTCCTGCCAGTTAAACGAGTCAAAATAAATTAGAATGTAGAAGCAACTCTCAACAGGCAAAATGGGAAACGTGTGCACTTATAAATTGCTGGTGACGGTATAAATTGGGTTCAACCTTCCGGACGAGAACAGACATAAGTGCTACAAAACTGGTCATCTCCTTTGACTCTGCCCTCCCCTCTAGGGACTTGCCCCCCTGCGGGAAGCCGCCGCCGGCCTTGGGGCCGTGGGGCCGTGGGCCTCGGGGCCTCGTCTAGTCATGGTGGGTTGGCTGATGCTTCTGCAGTGCCGCCCGCCTCTTGAACACGCGGCCACACTCGCTGCACTCGCAGCGTCTCGCTCCGCTGTGGGTCCTCCGGTGGCGACTCAGGCCGGAGCTCCGCCGGAAGGCCTTCCCGCATTTGTCACACTCGTAGGGTTTCAGTCCGCTGTGGATCCGCCGGTGCTTGATCAGGTCGGAGGGCCCCCGGAAGGCCTTGCCGCAGTCGCCACAGCCATAGGGCCGCTCCCCGGTGTGGATGCGCTGGTGCTCCAGGAGGCTGGAGCTCTGCCGGAAGGCCTTGCCGCACTGGCCACACTCGTAGGGCTTCTCTCCCGTGTGGATCCGGCGGTGCTTGGTGAGCTCCGAGCTCCTCCGGAAGAGCTTGCCGCAGTGGGGACACCCGTAGGGCTTGGCCCCGCTGTGGATGCGCTGGTGTTCGGCCAGGCCGTTGACACCCCGAAAGGACTTGCCACAGTCGTCACAGTCGAAGGGCAGGTGGCCGGTGTGCACGCGCTGGTGCTTGAGGAGCTCCTGGCGATCCAGGAACTCCCTGCCGCATGCCTTGCAGGCGAACGGCTTTTCGGAAGTGTGGAGCTTCTGATGGCGAAAGAGGTGGGTGCTCACCTTGAAGGACCGCCCACACTCCTCGCAGTCAAACGGCTTCTCTCTGCTGTGGACGCGCAGGTGCTGACTGAGGCCCGCGTTCTTCTTGAATCTCTTCCCACATTCCTCACACTCGAAGGGCTTCGCCTCCCTCTCCGTTTGCTCCCTTTCCTCCATGGCATCTTCCGGCGTTCGGCTGGGACCCGGCTGGGGCTCTGCAGTCACGTGGCTCTTCCGGTGCTCGTTGAACTCAGAGACGCCCCTGAAGACCCTCCCGCAATCGCCACACTCCCAGCCCTTCTCCTCGCTGTGAATTCTCTGGTGCTGCACAAGGAGGACCTTGAGCCGAAAAGCATCCCCACACTCCTTACATGCAAAGTGATGTTCTATGGGCAGGTTCTGGGGGCTCCCCCCACTCCCCTCCAAGTCTCTGCTCTGTTTGCCCTCAGGGCTGGGTGCACCGGCCATCGGGGAGCTGGTGGATGCCATCTCCTGGGGCTGAGCGTCTTCACCCATTCTCTGCTGTTGTGTCACCAAGATGCTTTTGGAGACGGGCACCGCAAGACACTGTACTCTGCAGAGGAGGAGGGAAGGAGGTTACTTTCCTTGGTCAACAATCACCTTCCTCCTGAGACAGCTGCTGAGCACAGGGCCCAGAGACCACGCAGCAAGGTGGCCGGTGCCCATCCAACCAGAAGCAAGGAGCACAGAGGAAAGGGGCAGAAAGGTGTCACTGCTGGACGCCCCCTACCAAAGGGGTGCTGAGGAGGTCTCCCCTCCTGTGACTGAGAAGCAGCCACACCCCCTCCCCAAAGGCTCGGCGGGGGCCTCCTCCACAGTCTCTTCGCGCTTTCCGGGGTTCTTTTGCACTCGGCGGAATGCTTACCTCAGTCTGTGTTCAGGGATGGCTCAGATGCCAGCACCACGTGGCCTTGTACCAGGTGAGGAGCCAGGCGGCAATCAAAACAGGAACTCCTGCTGGCGGAAAAGGAAAAGGGTTTTGGTGGCAGCCAAAGATGCCATCAGAACACAGCCGGGTTGTGGGGGGGGGGGGGAGCGGGGCGCATGGCCTTCAAAGTCAAAACTCTTTTAATCCACCAAGCATACGTAGCTTGGCTGTGCCCTCAGGCAACTCATTCGTCCCTGCCCTTTCCCAAGGGCTGGCTCCCGCCAGAGACTGGATGAGGCAGAGTCTGGGCCCACCTGGGTGGAGTGCCAGGGACTTGTTGTGAAGAGCTGGTCCTCCCTTTCTGCCTGTTCACACTCCTCAGTGCCTGCAAACGGAAAGTCCTACTGTTCCACGACTCCCAAACTGACTCAGCAGTCTCGCCCCTCCCACCATGTGCAGCCCTCAACAGGGCATAGGGCCTTGCCGTGCCAATCTCTCTCTCAACAACAAACTGTAATAAAATGGCCATTCAGTTTTTGTGCAATTTAGGATTAAAAAAAAAAAGTTTTCCAAATGATAGTGGCCACCTTGTTCTAATTTCTTTCCCAGTAAAAACCTGAGGAGGCTTCTTTCCATGCCCTTAGGAGTTGGGAGGGGGCCCTGCCAATTTGAAATGGTGAGGGTTGGCAGACCCTTTGCGTTTTCTTACAGCTGATCCCTAGGGTAGGGGGGCATAAGCCCCCAGAAGGCAAGGTTGTGCAGGGGTAATCCAGGTGCTCCTCAACCCTCACTCGGCTGCGCAGGACCACGAAGCTGTGGGGGAAGCTGGTGGAGGGCCGGGGGCATCCTTACCCATGGACTTCACATTCCTGTAGTATGCCAGTGTCCTCTGCTCAGCGTCCAGTCTCAGGCACTCCTTTTTTGTGAGGTACTGGGCCACGTCATCAAATGTCACTGAATCCTGTAAGAATTCCCAGGGATAAGCAGTCCTTCTGTGCATTCTAGAATGAGGCAGGGGCAGCACTGGTAACAGCAGGGATAAGAGGTGAGGGTCCGGAGTAGATGTGCATCGCTAGCGTGGAGATCTAAGCACAAGCGTCAAGAAATCCTGGAAAGAGAATCTAACCAAGCACCAGAAGACCTGGGCCATGGCCTTCGCTTTGGCCTCCCACTGTCTTCCCAAGAGACCCCAGTTCAATCACTTTCCTGGATTGAAATGCAGCTCCCGCACCAGCATAATGGGAATTACAAGCCCAGCAGGTACCCGTTTCTTGGTAGACTCTGAGGAGGACAGCAGAGGGATGGAAGGCAGCAGCAGGGGTTCAAGTCCTGTAGTGTGTCATGCTGGGAAAAGAGGTAGAGGCTAAGGCAGACTTAGGGAGCAGTGACAGTTTCCCAAGCCAGGCAGGGGGAAGCACAGCTCACCTGGGCCTCAAGGATCTCAAGAGGGCCTGCCAGGACCTGGTTTCCTGGGGGTCCATCCTGGGGAAGGGCAAGACCCTGGGGGGGCAGGCCGAGCTAAGGAAAGTGAAAAGAGCCATGAGTGACAATAGCCCTGTCTCTGGGTCACCTACGACAAGACTAGTGATTTCCTTTTCCCTGGTTTTAAATCTTATTCAGTCTTCTCTTGCACAGCAGCTGAGTGACAAGCTGGAGCCACAGGTATGCCTAAGAAAACAGACCCCAAACAGTGGAGAAAACAGGCTAGCAGACAATACAGGCAGGCCAGAGAGAACCCAAACAAAACGAATGAATGTTGGCCCGGGAACAGCCCAGAGAATATAGACACAGATGCAGAACGAATGGTAGCGAGACTGACTCTCAGAGACAGGCCGGCCGCAGGTTTCCTTAGCAGCCAGCCTCAAAGAGGTCAGTGCTCACACTGCCCAGGAACGAAGCTTCCCCAAAAGAATATCAGAAGAACTAACTAAGTGAGAAGTGAGAGACCTTTCCAACTTTGTAGGGGCAACAGAAAAACCAGATTGGGCCACTGGAGGCAAGAGAAGCTATGTCTTCTTGACCAGAAGCAAGGCCCTTTAGAGGCCATACCCCATTCAACTGAAACAATGAACCAGGTGACAGCGAGAGATGCAGACCAGACCATTTCTGTGGTATGTCTGACAAAATGAAAAGTTGAACAAAATTGCTGGAAAAAAAGAAGCTGCAAAGAAAAGATCTTCAAATACCAAGCTGCTAAATAAAAGATCTGAACGATATGTACAATTTACCTTTTTCTCCCAGATTGCAAAATATGTGAAATATTGTAATTAAGATACCACAAACGTGTATGCATCATAGGCCTCCCATTTCAGTGAGTTCAAAGAAACAGGATTATGGTTTCTGTTCTGATATCAAGTCAATTCAATTCAATCCAGACCTGACTGAGAAGGAGGCATTTTTCCAGTAGCTCACGGAGTAGAAAACCCAGATACTCCAGGGGCGCCTGGGTGGCGCAGTCGGTTAAGCGTCCGACTTCGGCCAGGTCACGATCTCGCGGTCCGGGAGTTCGAGCCCCGCGTCAGGCTCTGGGCTGATGGCTCAGAGCCTGGAGCCTGTTTCCGATTCTGTGTCTCCCTCTCTCTCTGCCCCTCCCCCATTCATGCTCTGTCTCTCTCTGTCCCAAAAAATAAATAAACGTTGAAAAAAAAAAAAAAAAAGAAAACCCAGATACTCCAGAAAGACTTTTGCATAAAATTAGATACTATATTAAAAGGGATAGACAGAGACTTCCACTTCTGGTCATGATAGAGTAACAAGGAACAAATGATGTCCTGCCATAAACAGGTCGACAACTGGACAAAATAGCTGTGAAACAAGTTTTCAGACATTGGACAGCAGGAAGTGCTGGATCATGATCCCAACAGAAGAAACACAATGGAGATGAGCCTTATCGTTGCCCCGGCTCTGCCTAGAGGCAACTGCCAGACTGAGAGTGTAGGGAAGGGGGGGGGGGGGGCCTCAAACAGAGCTTGGTGGCTCCATCAAGACACAGACTAGCATTTGGGGCAGCTGATGCAGCTAGAGGCTGCAGAACACAGTTCCAGAAAGGAGGGAGCTATGCAGGAAAAACGAGCTCCAAAAAATCAGCAGAAGGCTCCCCTTGAACTTTTCCTAACATGCGTGCATAATAAAACTCCCAAAGACTAGGAAAAGAATGACCAGGAAGCTTTAAGCTGAACAATTTCCAGGACACACAAAGGTAGGGAGATGTTCAGTATCCAACCAGCCAGGGTAGAGAGTCCTCCGTGATCACCGAGGGCATTCAGTATAGAATCAGAGGGGCCAGGCCTTGTAGTACGACTGACTGACCCCTGGAGTCACAGCCACCCTGAACCTGCTCTAGAAAAGCTTAGAAATAAGCTTCAACGTGATGAAGCTGTTCCATAAATAACTACCTCCCAAAAAGGAAGTCCAACACTTCTCAAAGTGAAACAACAAAATCTAGACACTCAACAATATAATCTCTATGATGTCCAACATCCAAGAAAAAAATTACTGAAATGCCAAGAAGCAGGAAAACGTGACCCATGGCAAGGAAAATCATGTCACTAGGAAACACTCAAAAATGAAACTTACAGACAAGGATAACAGTATTGAAAGAAAAACAGAAACCTAATGAAAAAAATGGGCAATATAAACAAGATCCAAATGGGACTTCTGGAGGTGAAAACTAGGACAGTTAAAATAAAAATTTCACTGGATGTGATTAACAGCAGATTAGACAATGAATCCCCTCCCCTCCAATATTAGAAAACTTGAGGACATAGCAATAGGAACTATCCCAAGTGAAGATCAGAAAGAAAAACAAGATATTCAAAAACCAGTCTCAGTGACCCGGGATAACAGAAAAGCACCTAACACATAAGTGATTGGAATCTGAGATGAGGAAAAGAGGGAAAAGGATAAAAATATAGTTGCAAAAATGATGGCTGGAATTGTCCCCTCAAATTTGATGAGAACCAGTCCCTATGCAGACTAAACACACAAACAACAAAACCAAAAAAACCCACACACAGACACCAAAACACACCATAATGAAATTGCTGAAAACTAGTGTGATAAAGAGAAAATCTTAGAGCAGCTGTGGGG